CCATTGTAGCAAATTGTATTGTTTATTTCTGTATTAAAATCAAAGTAAAATGAAAACGCAACTTGAAACTATGAAATGGATATTGAAATGAATTCAATTGAATTATTTTTTTTATGATTTATTTGAAGAAAATGAACTTTGTTTTTAATGCGGCAATAGAAACCAATTTCAATACATTTTGTACGGAAAAATACAATATCACGTTTGAGAAAAACTTTACACAATTACCTATATATTCAATTAAAATCCACTTACCGGCATATTTAATCAGTCAAATTGCTAATCAAATGCAGTTCACTTTATCATATTCATTTATTCCGATCCAGGCAACATGGTGAATATTCACTTACAATAGTTTTTCCTAAGCAAGATTGCTATATAATTACAATTTTCCAACTTGTCATATACTAACTATAGCCCGTTTATATTATTTATTTGAGGTTGATAATCTTGAATTTTAACAAAAACAAAATACACAACGCAATAATATGAAAAAAGAAAATCCGGTTGTAGGAAAAGAGGAACCAGAAATTTTGTATGCGTATATTTATGTACATAATTATGTACGTATATTATACTGCACATATTGAAATTCATGAATGCTTTTTCTTTGCAAACATTCACAAATTGTTACGTTATGATTTAAAAAAAGAATTATAGAAAACTGCAAATTAAATATTTGAAAAGACACAAAATGGTTCGTATACAGAGATGGGTAAATGAACATACTGCTAAGATGTGTGTGTATGTAACTGTGGTTAAATAACATAACTAAAATGGCCAGTTTTTGAATAGTTTTACTCTATTTCTTTAAACTATTTCATAGATATTTAGAGATTGTGGACAATATATAGTAAACTAGTGGAGCAACATCATATAAATAGCAGTACCCAACGCATACACATAAAATTTGTACAACATTGCACATAGACTGCAATAGATACAGACATGCTAAACAGCATTTTTGTTTTCTTGACAAATTTTGAACTTTTTTTTTTTTGTAATTCCCTTTACATTTTATAATAGACTTTTTAAAAGAAATGCAAAGTAGAATTAATTTTAATGATGCTATATAAGATACGTATATTCCTGTTCTCTTTTAATAGAATGGGCATATAGTGCAGAATTATTATTGAAGCATGCAAGCACAAGACCAAGAACAAGACGAAAAAAAACAATAAGAAAGTTTGAATTGATAAGGTTCAATAATATCAACTACTTATCTGAATTTAAATACAAATAATCTTTCCAGAATAAGATTTATTTGTTTGGTCCCCAATATAAAAGTGTTAAAATTCATGTATTGTAAAAGTTGCCATATAGTTCTTGCGTTATTCTTGAATTTGCAATTTGTCAAAAGGTTATATGGCAAAATATCTTATGTTTTATAAATAATTGTTTTGCCGGGATGCACGATTTTCGGTGGAGGAGTGAACAAAGACTTTCAATAAGGAAATTAATCTAATATTGAGGAAATTATATAACGCATCGACAAAACTCGAAGAAGATTTCAGCGAACTAATCGCTAACATAATCCCAATAATAAAGCAAAGACATTAAAGCAAGCGATAATAAAGACAAGACAACCAAAAGTTAAAGTTAAAGTAACGATTACAGAAATAGATAAACAGTAGGATTTTAACTCAATCTATATGTTACGAAGAGTGCCTGTTGTCTTTCATTCTCTTGTCAAGTGTAAAGTCGAAACCATCAGTAGAAATTGTAAAATTAGAGAACATCGTTGACATAATGTTAAAGAAAGAGGTTATGTGAGAACGAAACAAATCGAGACTAGGCAAAAAGAAACGAACAAAATGTCTACTCTATCTAGAGGTGACAAAAGAAGAAAAGTTAAGGAAGAATTGCAAATTTAATCATGACATATAGGAGGACGACGATTCGTGCTCAATATTCAATAGTGAGATGTTCTGCTCACGTATATAAAATAACTCAAAACACACACCCAAACCTCTCTATATTAAAAAATATACAGTGTATTAGAAACTCAACGGTAAATAATGTGCACAACGGAATTCGTTTTAATTTAAATTAAAACTTTAAAACAACTTTGTAATATCTATTATAAGCACTTTTACTAAAAATAGTATCCATAAAACGAAGTAAATAATCACAAGTATATAGAGGTATGTATTTTACACAATATTACACAATAATTTGTCATTTAAAAAAGAAAACAAACTAAGTTGCGCTATACAGTCAATATGGTATGAAATTACAGCCGGTGCATTACACACTCTTACATTCTTAATTTCAACGAAAATATTTGTATAAAGAAGGTGTACATATAAATTTCTGTTTACGTACACTTGCACATATGTATGCATTATACATTATTTTAAATACGCAGACAGGTTATAAGAGCTGTTTTTGTTGTTATTATTGTTGTTGTCACTTTTAAATTTTTTTCAATATTTTATGATGCTCGAAATTATGTGAAAATTACGTGAAAATTAGAGAAAGTTACTTAAGACTATAATTTAATAAGATGAGAAGTAATTGTTTAAAATCATAACTTTAGAATTATTTGTTAAATCAATGATAAATAAGAAACAACAATTTATATTTAAATAAGCGATATACGGTATTCGTAGTTTTTTCCAAGTCTTCCTAGAAACATAATAATAAAAAGTCTTTTCAGCACGTTAACACAAGCAATAAGCATAGGAATGTTTTCTAAACAAAACGGAGACTTTCGAGAAAAACCACATTTGAAGCCGACAATTACGACCACAACCGAACCGCATCTTCGGGCGCCACGGGTTAAAGTCAAATTAAGAGTAACTCTTTCTCTTATTCAACAACACAGTAACGAAATTTGTTAAAATTTAACTCTTAATTTGATAAATTGATCTATGCTTGACGTACTATAAATTTCTAATTAATTTTAAATTTTAGAATGTTGTCGAGGCATTGAATTCTAAAACTAATTTATAAATTTACTTCGAAAGTGAAATGTAAAATTTTATAAAATAATTTAAATAATTTTATGGTAATATTATGTTGTTATATTAACATTTCTCTAGAGAATGCCAGAAAATTGACACATTCTTCATTTCATTTCTCATCTAATAGTCATGCAATTTTACAAGAACACAAAGTGTTTACTCAAAAGCAGTCTTGCCCAAAATAAAAAACAAATTATAAAAATTTGTCCAAATAAATTTTCATTTTGCAATCTAAAGAAAATTTTTTTTCACTTCTATATTAAAATATTCCATATAATTTTTACACATCAATTCGCACTTTAAATTATGTATACATTCACAACGATAGGTACATGTATAACATTTACATATTTATATAAGTGTAGTAAAATGAGCATTACCATTAAATTATAGCATTTATATATAACTAATAAAATTTTTATTAAAAATTAAAAAAATAAAAATAAAAAATTATTAAAAATACCATAAATAATTTCTAGTTGAGGAATTCTAATTAATTCTGCAAGATATTTGCGACAAAAACACTATACTGTTATAATATACGCGTACGGAAAATTGTATACAAAATATTTGTACTGGAGTTATCAAAGATTACTAACCAGAAGAAAACTAGATTTATAACTTATTTTCCAATAAAACCTGTACTTATACATTTAGGAATCGAGTTGAATTTTATTTTTAATTTCTATCTAGTACCTGCATAACTTCTAACACAAACACTTGGCTCAGTAATTTTTGTATATAAAATAATACAGTAAAGTGTGTTATCAAATTTAATATTTTTAAAGTTAACAGAAGAATCGGTATTTTTTTGCCTTAAAATTTGCGTATATGTTATATGTTACGAAAACAATAAAGTTTTGGCTCCTTAAAGTAATGGTCAAAATTGGTTTTATTACACTAAAATTTTGTATGAGTTCTTAGTCAGTGCTAATAATGAACTGATTTGTAATTGATTTTAGATTGCCCGATTAGGTGAGGCTCCTCATTCTGAGTGAACATATTTTGTCCGTTATTGACTTACTACATATTGTGTTCGCTATCTTGTTGTACAATTACCAAAAATAACTAAACCCACAAACTTTGCACTTCTCCATGATTAGCAGTACTTTTGAAACTGAATATTTTGCGGGAGCAATTCCTTACTCAAAAACAGCTGAATACCCAAAATTATTTAATTAGTGTTGCAACAAAATTTTGCATTGTGAAAATTTCTACGGCTGAAAAATATTCCTTACCTTAACTGTAAATAAAAGAATGCTGTCTATTATCCATTTATAGAATCACAATAAAATAATCGTTACTGAAATTAAAGTGTCAAAATCATATTAAATATTTGATTTTTTTCTTTTTTTTTTTAACACTTATGGTAGAAAAATTTTTAAGCTGGTTTTTAATTTATAATAAATGCTATCACTCATATTATGCTGGCTATTGCAGATATCAACATAAAAAAAACAAGACTCATTTTGTCATAAATTTTCAAATCACCCAGTTATTAGCACAATGCATACGATCATAAATGACAAATTAAATTTTTAAAAATGTCTAATTTGTAACAATTACTTGCATGATAGTACAGAATATTTTTCATATTAAAATGTGGAAAAATCTAATAATTATTGAGCAAAAATTTTATTCCACATTTTTTACTGCGAGTTTTCTGATCTCAAAGTTTAAAAAATAAAATTCCAAGAAATGTTTCAAATTGTATACAAATGGTCATCTGTTAGGATAAATCAATTTACGCCGTATTAAACGAAATTATTAATTGTTTACAACTAGAATCGTTATAGGAACAATTCGCGCCCTCAATTCGTTATATGATAAATCCATCTAGAGCTCAATTTACTATGTTAACATATATAAGTAGATTTGATATTGAATATGTTTATACTGCAACCTGATGTTGGAATGAATTTTGTGATTGAAATATTTAATTTAAAATAGATTAATTTTATTGTAATATCTTAATATTAATGAAAGAAAATCAATATAAACGAAATTAAAATATTTTTTATTCGTGTGTTTCAGGAACAAGATCACAACATGATGTTCAAAAAATTTCTGCAATGGTTTCTTGTGATTATCGGCTTAATAAATATTTTCGTAAAAAGTATTATTGCCAATCAACTTGTTGAATTTTTTCAAGACTACAAAAATAATCACATAGAAGATAAGGTAATATAATTTAAATTTCATTCAAAATACTTTTATAATTTGTATATTTGAGACTCAAACATAGAACATAATTTCAAATAAAATATAATATTCGAAGCGTTACTGCCTTCGCCAATTTCCACTAGCGCTCATCGTCTCAAGTCCAGGTTCAACGGGGCCTCGTTCAGATCTAGATGCATATTTATGTTCATTGGTCTGCAATTTACAAAGATTTGACACTGTTTGAAGCTAAATCCAGAATATGAAATAGATATTAACGGAAAAGAACATATCTTTCGAACAAAAAAAAAACGATTTAGGCTTTGTACAGTGAAAATTTCTTGGTAATAAAACCAATTAATAAATTACTAATCTATGATTACGCTTGTAAATTTTAAAAATTTCAGATAAACGCAATATTAACAGTAATTTATCGCGAAATTTGTTTTGAATCAAAACAATTAGATAACTCCTATGTGTATTTTATTTAAAAATTACTTCCTCTCTTTTTGACAAAAGCTCATTAATCATATAACATTTTTTTTCTCAAAATTTTTCATCAGAAGTTTTAAAGATTTTGCATTTCAATTTATGATCCAAAATAACTTTATATCATGTTTTATATAAAAAAATAATTGATTTTGACAAAATATGTATACAGAATAGACGTACACAGCGGGAGCAATTTCTAAAAATAGAAACTGTAAAATTGTTTTGGCACCGGTCAATTTATTATTTTTTTTCTTTTTTACTTCAAAAGCTGTAAATATATTCAGATTAGGTACACAATAGCCAGATGTATACAGCAAATAATAAATAACAGAGCGCATATATTAATTTTACGCTAAATTAAAAACTTGCAAATTTCTCAAATATTATATTTAATAAATTCATCTCGGTTGAGAGCTCGCATTCGGTAACATAATAGCACATTGTTATAATTGTCTGTTGTTTTTCTTTTTGATTTTTAGACTGTGTAAAATTAATATTAAGACATTATTTTAAAAAATTAATGTAAATGGATCCAATTATAGTATTTTAATCTCTAGTTGTGTAAATTGAATAATATAGTTATATAAAAATTATCAAAGCACCTGCTGTTTACCCCACTTAAATTAAATTATGCAATAAAAAAAAACGTGTTAATAATAAAACTATTAAATTTTTTTCACTTTGATTTTTTATTTATACATTTTTAATTATTTGTAGACATTTTGTTTTTAAATCAGAGAAGAAAGTTTGATAGACCTATAGCAAACCATTTTGAAAAATGAATTTTCACATAATTAGTAATTTTCAAATATAACAAAGAAGACACACTGAATTGTAGTACAGATTAAATCCTACTCACCAGAAACAAAGAGCCCATTTAAATGTCTTTTGAACCGAATGTGTTTATGTTGGTTTCATGCTGTTTCAACGTCTGTCTGTTTGTCCTTTTTTTGAGTATTTGTTTAAAAAGTCATCGAAGTAATAAGTTAATTGGAGTAATGCATATTATGCTTAATTAGATAATTACTCCCTAATTTACATATTAGATGTGTTAGAACTCCAACAAATATTTTTAAAATTTTAGATTATACAATTTCTGTCATTATTTAAAGTTATAAATTTTGATTATTCAACAGCCCGTCGTAAGCTGAAAGAAAAGTGAATTTCTCCATCCGGTTAATATTACATCATTAATCATTTCCGTACTTTAATAGAATTAGAGATTCAAGAAAGGAAAAGTTTTTTAAACTCAACAGAACCAAACCTATAATAACAAGATTATTAATATTTATTGTCTTCTTCACAATTATAATGATTTAAATTAATAATTAATAATTTAAGCTTCCCTGATTTTTGAAAAAAAATATACTTATATAAAAATTAAGCTCTTATTAAATGATTACCTAAACAAATTACTATCCAAACAAATTTTCCTATTCTATACAACCGACAATATTTATTCATAAAAATGCATGACAAATTCGCACAACAAGACAAATTCTTGTAAAACTAATTAAAACATAAAATAAACAATGCTCCTAAAATCTTTACAAAATTCAACTTTTTGCTTGTTAAAACTACAAAAGTTCTCAGTGCTCTAGTGGTGTAGAATATTTATTATAGAAAAAAATAATCTCTTATTAATATTTTAATTATCAATTATTAACACAAATTTTGAATACATGCCATCACTACAAAAGAGCATCAAAGACATACGAATGTTATTTAAATATAAAAGATATAATTAAAGATTGTATAACAAAATTTGCTCATCATCATACCATAGTACGTACTAAAAGCAAAAAACTCTATTTAAATAGAAAGAATAATGGAGTATTTTTTTTTTGTTTTCGAGTACCAGATTTTGAAGTATTTCAAACCACATTAATAATTACTTGAGTATAAATTAATTATCAATTGGGTAGCTTTTTTCTATATTATTTTTATATTCAAAATTTCGTCATCATCATAATATTTTTAGTTTTAGGTCTCATTTGTTACATAACTGTCATACATATGATATATAATTAAAATAATTATATTATTCGTGAATTCAAAATTCTACATGTTTTAACATTATAATAAACTCAAATAAATCCATTTTGAACACTTTAAGTAAATGAAAAAACTTAGATAAGCCCATATAAAGAAGAAAGTAGAGTTTAAGGCCGTAAGTCTAAACGGAGAAAATCTAAAAATTGTGTCACACAATGATTTTTTTGTCTTGTAGTTTTTGATTCAAAATTATTAAACTCAATTTAGTATAGAACAAGTTGTCCGTCCTACAATAGGGTGACAATATTAATACCGGAACTCTAATAAGTGTTGGTAAAATTGGCCGTATGGCAACTGCCTTCCAAATTCATAACATCTATTGTTTTTTTTTTTAAATCTTGAGCCATGTGGATGAAGTATTTTTTAAAATTAGTTAGCTGTATGGTTAGTCATGGTTCATTTAAAATATTTGAGAATTTTGACATAATACCCAAAAATTTTTAAATATGTATGTAAATAAAAACATTCGTTTGTGCGAAATTTCGGTAACAACATATTCACATGAGGTTTGTGTAAAAAAAGACCCAAATAATTTTTGACTCGATAACAATATTTGAATAAGTACTCGTACACGAACCGATATCGTCCATATCGCATTTTAAATTAATAATAAGTTCGGCATGACATATTTGCAATATAGTGATGAATGCTGCAATTTAGACACTATATAAAGTTAATGTTAAAGTACAAGGTAGACGACAAATAGTTTGACCAATCTTTATTCGGAATTTTATCAATCCGAATGAATCAATACGAAATTTTAATTCGGATCTCTCAAATTTAGAAAACTTAACAATTGTGTGCAAATTCATGATAGTTCATAGTTCACTCTTATTCTAATCCTAGATTATACACATGAATAAAATTTTTCTAATTTTTGTACTTCTCTATATTTTTCTACTACCACATAATAAAAATATTCTTAATGTATGTAAAGTTCATCGTTTTATTTTTAAGAACAGCTCAATGATAGAAGAATCGTGAAAATTTTATAAGAAAAATTAAGAATTGAATTTGCATAATAGTAATTTTTTTTTTTGTTTAGTTGTAATGACGCTGTGTATCTAATTTGAATACACTTGAAAATAAAATACAAAAAAAAAACAAAAATAATAAAGAAAACATGAAGTTCACGTTGTTTCTTATATAAATGAAATCTTCAGTCAAAAATTCAAGGTTCATAAATTTTTTTTTATTATGAAAACTTGTCTGTCTCATATTTATACACTAAAATAACTATGCATGTATTAAGAATATGGTATTATATAAACCAAACAGGTGAATATGTTTACTTCCGACAAATAAGTAGTGAATAGTAAGAAGTAATGAAAATTTGAAATAAACAAATTAGAAATGTCAAAATAAGAATTAATGAGATTTCTCGTTGAAATTTTTGTTTTATACTTTTTTAAAAAATATTTATTTTTTTTTTGTAGCAAACCACGCATATAAATTAGTATAAAACTTTGTATGTGTATGAATGTGTGTAAAAATAATTTTCCATGCTTCAAAAATTCTTTTAAAACTACAAAATTCGTATGTGTCATAATTTAACAATGACAAATTAATTTTCAAAAAAAAAAAATCAAATTTAAATCTTATATTATTTACGTCTTAATTAAGTAAAACAAATTTTAAATAGAATTAGAATGTTTGCAGTCTTATTAACAAAACAAATCATACTGTGTGGAAGTGTGCGCGATACGTGCGCAACATACATTGCGGGCATATGTGATATTGATATAATTGTGTGATAGTGATATTGCTATGGTGTTAATATACTGGTCAAGAGTTTTGCAAAAATTTTATGAAAATGTGAATTCATAATTTCGAGGCATCTAACTTGGTCGGCTTAGTACAAATTCTAGATATTGCAGCATTTGATTTTTACAATTCAAACATAATACAACCAGAAGAATTTGGTGATATTTGACAATTTTTTTTAGATTTCCAAGTGTCAAATTATTTGAATAATTCTAAATTTGAGAAAAAGTCGGTCCAAAAATTTCACCAAATTATTTTTTTATAAAAAACTACAATAATTTCAAAACACTGGTTAATTTTAAAGAAATGTTAATTTGGGAATAATGTAGATTTTGTATAATGAACAAAATGCAAACATTTGTGGATTTTAATCTTAAGGAAAGTTAATTTGACTTAATTACTTTGATAACAAAATTTGACTTAATCAGTTTTGTGTTACTGCCACAAAATAACAGCTTATATAATTGTGTATTGAAGCAAACAATTTTAAAAAAATATTCCTTAAAAAATAATACAAAAATTTTAAAAATTCTAAAACACTTTTTAAATTTACAGGTAAACTACTCTTTTCGTTATTATATTGATCATCCGAATTCTGGGGTATCACTTGATCATTGGGAAGATCGAAAAGGACAACACGTGCAAGGGCAATATGGATTAGTTGAACCAGGCGGTGTCATTAGAAATGTACATTATGAAGTGAATGGAGATAGTGGATTTAGAGCAATAGTTCGAACTAGAACACAAAGTATGAGAAGTTTTAATATATTTTCAAAATTAATAATTTATAATACAATTTAATTACATATTTTATAATTTTAGATAGTCGATTTCATCAATTAATTCATACTGGTGCACCTCAACCTAAAATACCATATAAACATAAAGATCCTGTTGCCTCAATTATTTAATTCAATTGTTTCAGTATAATTTTCTATAAAAAGTATTACCTTACTATAATTATTAATTAGTAAATATTTTGTTCTTATTATGAAGTTATTAAAAACTATTTGATTGGCATTATACTATAAATGAAATAGACTCATAATATTTAATTCTAGTAAATCGCATATTCCAATAAGTTTTATTGTCAATGTTATAAAATAAAGGCTTATTTACTTTTTTATATAAATTATTTTCAAATGAAATTCATATATAAGTTTAAGCCGATATACAGGGCGAATATTGTAAGTATTCCAGAAAATTACAATATAAGCAAAACATAATCAAATCTACTATGGGTATTTAATTTGATTAAAAATAAACTTTAGGTGCAATAAGGTCGTCGCTGTTCCAAAAATGCATTAAAGATTTCAGCGAAATTTTCTAATGTGAACAGCTAATCTTACAATATGCGACAACTAGGAACTTTGGTGTTGGTAATTTTAAGTCCTATCATGTTTTATTTTCTACTTACAGGCCACAATTTCTGCTTTAACCCTCAATTACAGATTCATCATCTCACCATATTTAATTTTTATCAATTACAAAAAATGGACACAATTTTTAACAAGTTCAACAGAAATTAACAAATCTAAGAATATTTTTTTTCCATCATTTATACGAGTAATCAATAAAAGAGTGACATTTTATTATCTTCGTAATACTAAAAATATTTTCAATCAAATTTTCAATTAAAAATCGAACGAATTAACAAATATTTCATCAATAATCATAAAAAGTTGAAATATTTGTATCGAAAATCGATTATCTCTTGTTTGTTCACCCTCCAGTCCGACAGTTTAATAACTATTGTAACTCATGTTATATGAAGTTAGAGTTGACCTTGAAATGGCTAAAGCAGTAGAATGTTGATCAACTAATTTGACATATGTTATAAATTAATTTTTTCGTTTATACCATTAATATGTGAAAAATAAAATTACAGCCCTACAAATAGTATAAGAACCCCTTCTTTTAATGAAAAATTTGTTGGACAATAGCATTTTTTTCAAAGGTGTGCCAATGTGTACGGATTACATCTTGTATGTGGATGCTACACTTCTATAAGAATTCAATTAATTTTCGAGCTTATTAATATTATAATTCCTATTTCAGAAACACTCTTAAATTACTTAATTTAATCATAAATGATAAAAACAAGTTATTCGTAAATTACGTTTTGATAAGAAGCTCAATTGAATTTTCAGCTACATTGTACCTGTCAAAAAATATGTATATACATTTTTATTATAAAAATACAGCTCGAGGTTCGTATACGAGAATTTGGGTATAAGTTTTCCATATCACAAGAATGTGTATCTTAATATTCGCCAACTCTAAATATAATTTTCATTGGACCTATATGTCAATAACAAGAATCGTCACAATAATTTTTTTTTTACATTTCTCATAAAAAAAAACTATTATTATAGAAAGCTAATTGAAAAAATTGATAATTCATTTTATGAAATGGAAAAAAAAATCTACTTTCAATAGAAACTGGTTAATCCCTTATTCAATTTTATTTCATATTGTCATTTCAATTCAATTAAAAAGAATCAATAGGAAACCAAACAATAATTTTATTCTTCACATTTAAAATTAAAATAGTAATAGAAAATAGAGAAGAATGAAGACAGATTCAGTCAAAACTAATGAAAAAGCTAATGAATGATTAAAAAAAAAAAGAAGAAAAAATTTAATGAATGAAAATAATGAACGGAAAAAATGAATGATTACACCATTATTAATTCCAATGCTGATTCAATGTCAAAAATTCTAGGGTGCAGTTGAATTTTTTCTTCATTTCTTTCAAAAAGGAAATGTTTTGTAATAAATGAAAACTGTGTTTCTTTTTTATTACAAAACATAAAAACACAATAATAAAAAATACAAAGTTGTAATAAATTTTTTTTATTAATTAAGCAATTAATTTGAGGATTAGAATAATTAAAAAATCTTTATGGTATTTTGTTAAGGTTGTTTTAAAATATTAGAAATGTGGGAATTTGATAAATAAATTAAAACGCAAACTTCTGCAGAACTCACAAATTAGAATAAAATTTGAAAAAAAATTTCTTCCTTCTCGCAAATGAAAGTACAACTAATTTTTGGCTCTACAAGCCCTCCGGCTTATAGAACGGCACAAATACACTAGTTTTACCAGAGAAGTCAATTAAATTGTTATCGGGAAACAAGAGTGACTATACCAGGAAAATCGACTCTCTAACAGTTTGACACTTAACAAGTTGACATAAACGTAAATTACATATTTATCTTACACTAGTTTTTAATACAGATTTGTGTGAATTAAAAATAAGCACATGTGGAAAAATGTTTTTATTTCGGCTTTTAGAATCTAATCTGAATAATAAAAATGAATTAAGGAAACTCCAACAATGAATGATCGTTCGTAGGATAGAAGCGAGACAATTTCCAGCCTCATAACATATACGTATATATTGTTCCTCGGTATCAAATTCAAAATCGCTCTTTTCATATCTGTCCGTCTTACTCTCCAACTGTTGTTGATAACGCGAAGAGCTAGAAACTTAAAATTTGGCACAGATGTACAAGATGGGCCTGCTGAAACTGGTACCAACCGGCCTGGTAAGAAGATTAATTCCGCGTTTAAATAAAATGAATAATAAGTTTTGAATTTAAATAAAATGAACTTAAAATACACGGGTTTTTATATTTGACAAGAACCAGTATTAATTTTACTATTTTATATTAAACCATCCAGAGTTTTACTTTTATCTCTTTATAACTGAAATTTTTTTTTCTTGAAAAAAATTCATAATTTTACTGATTCGCCTAGTTTAACATTTTTTTTGTTAATACTTATAGTATTAAATTTATATAAATGGGTACCTTCATTAAAGAGTAAAAAAAATGGCCACCCTAAAAGTATGCAATATAAATTATTAAAATTTTTATAACACTTTATCTTAAACCCGAACCAAATTTTACGAAAATTTAAAGTCGGGTTCAACTCTTAATTAAAGCTTTATGAAAGTTTTAACTAGATAACCTTATAAGTTTTTAATTCAACTTATTTTATGTCAGAGCTTTTTCCAATTAATGCTCAAATATTTCACTCAAAATTTTGTTTATTTTTAAGCTTATTTCATTTTCACCGTTAACAACTTTTAAACTTATTTTTCGTTACATTTTTACAATATTCGTGCATGTATGGTTGTATGTCATTTAGCATGTCGATAAAAGTATTAATAAAAGTAAATCTGTTTTATTTTGTTTTGTTTACAAATGTCATTTGGAACAAAAACAAAAATTTATTTCAAGGTCAATATTCTCAATTTCATTTTTTAAGTAGTTTTTTTTTTGTTTTGTAAATACTTTGTTTAATTATTCACAATTAAATGGCCCAAATATTTGGTTATTGTGATTGCATTATGATTTTATCAACAATATATTTAAGAGGATATTAAGTAGATTTAATTGAGAAAATTTAATAATTATTCCATTTTGGAAAGCCTATGTAAAACTGCGTAATAATTCAATACTACACTTAAGTATTTTAAATACAGTTTGCAACATTTTCACTGACAATTACTTTTAAGTGTCATTATTTTAATATGAATATTTAAAATCATATAATAGTTCCAATTTAATTATAATAATGATTGAAATGAAAAGTGGCCAACTTTTCGTTTTGGCAAAACAAAATATTTTAATGCATAATAAAAAAAAAACGAACGTAGGCTGGTGCATATTTTTAACATTTAAATTCAAATTGGGTGATATTTCAAAATAAATATAAAAATTTCGATTGACATGTGAATATTAGCTATACTAAGTATATATATTGTTGTATAACAGACTCATTGTATTATGAGAAAAAAATTATTTAATACAATTTAAAACAAATTTGTTCTAGTATTTTTTTTAGGTGTATGAAAAGAAAACTCCCTTTTATTCGGAATAAAATAGTATTCCTATTCCTAGTATTCCAGTATTCCTACGTATAAATAAGATTTTATTTTCACTCACCAAAAATTGTAATAGTGCAAACTGAGAACTTAGAATTGGAGTAATTGAGACTTGCGTCAAATTGATGAAGTGTCAAACTATTTTAAATATAAATTACGATAGTCTCAAGCATATTAGTTTGTAAAATGTAAATTATACAGACGAAGCGATTTCCGACAATAATTCATTTTTACTTCAAAAACTATTTTGAAGAAATTTTTATAAGTGCATTGAATTTTGAGCTTGCAAATTACTTGTTTTACATACGACACTGGTTTAAAGGATTTATTCTTTGTTAAACATAGCATAAATAGCTGACGCTTTCTAACTCCATCTAAATGTAAGCTAAATAACTGTGGTATAAATGCAAATATGAGCTGTAATACAAATGTCACAAAATGACAGCTATGAATGCCAAATTATAAAGGAGGGTTATATTATTGTGGAAGTTTTAATGAAAAAACCAAAAAATTAATCATTTAATAGCAGGTGTGCGTCTTCCAAAAATCAATGTTCATCATCATTGAAGGTACCTCTACATATTTGCTAAATTTAATATTTTCTCTGTTAAAATCACCCTAAAATCATAACAAATAATTAATTTTGTTAATAATAGACAATTACATACAAGCACCCTTATATATACTCATGTGCTCTACTTTAAATCACCATAGATTAAGAAATTTATTAAATTTATTTCCTATATAACTCCTTTACCATTATTAAAATTATAGTACTTAAAAACAGTAAATGAATTAATAATTTTTTTTCTATATTATTATTTTTTGATAAATTTAATGTATAGAACTAAAAATATTAATTATTAATTTTATAAAACCTTCATTGAATTATAAAAGTAAATTTTTTTAAATTCATAATCTTTTTGTTGCTTTATTAGACAACCATATCTATATGCTTGTAAGTTCCACATATTATATCTTTATAGATAATGCAAAAGGTCAGAACTTAAAATTAATTTCCGTTAATCCACATTGAAAAAGCATTTATACACAAATGAGAGTTGAGATTAACAGGATCAATGAATAAACTTGACCAACATGATATGAACTTTAAAGTAAATGCATAAAGTATATTTTTGTT